TGTGTTCGCTTGGTTCAGAGCTGCTTAACTCAAGATCACGATCACAAACTGTTTCTCAGTATGAATGAGTAGCTCTATTTTTACATCATTACTGAAATATTTCTTTTCTTCATCAATGACAGAAAGAATGTTTTCATCATCTTTTAAAGATCTTACCAAAGTTAGATCTTCATCAGAAAATCTCAAAGAAAGACTCATTTATGCACTAATAAAAATATAGCTAATTATTTTTTTATCTGAACTTTTTATCGGGTATATAAAGATGTCTGAACATCATATAAAGTTCTTTAAGATCCAACAGTTTGTAGATGAAGTGAAGAAGCAAAATAAAACAGCAAAGAGACTACTTATATGCTTACCACAAACATTATGTCAAGGAAAGTATGGTTATAGTGCAAGTCCGATCATGATCTTTGTCGATAAGCAGAAATACACAAATGAAGGTTTAGCTAATTTACTCAAGTTTGAAAAGATAGCTATAAACATTCCTGACCATTTCTCAGCGAGAATAAACCTTGACAAGACTAAAAGTTATTGTTTATATGTAGATCTCACGAAATCAACAAAGAGTAAAGACAAAGAATATAACCCAGTTGAACTTAAGACAATGGGTAAGAACTTACTCAAAGCTGCTATCAAACCTGTCGAAGAGATCGACATTGAGGATGAAGCAGAAGAAATAGATGTAGATCCTGAAGTGTTATAAACGATAAAGTTTATTTTTGGAGGAAGATGGTGTCAGACCATTTGATCTGGCATGCTTGTTCTAGGTAATTGCAGAAACCTGGAAAGATTGTTATTGGTCTGAGTTTCATACCTGGTCTCTCATCTCTCCATTGAAGCAAGTAAATTTACATGAAGAGTTCGTCTGGATTCTCAGGCTTTGGTACACACTGATCGAAGATCTGTATGACCTCTTCATGACCGTACTCCCTCTGGTCAGACATGAGTGTTAAGAAGAACATTTGCATCTTCGGACCAGGTTTAGCATCTATGCAACAAGTGGGTCTCATTGACATTTTTGTCACTTTTATTTGGTCGAATGGAAGGATTCGAGTTCATGCCACTTGACAGCAAAGAAGGTGCAGAAGAGGTTGTTGTTGCTGCATTCTATGCGAGCTCACACGTTGACGCATTCCGAACTTACCAGGATGACCTCGAAAAAGAAGGTCGAAAGCTTGGAAAGATCCAAATGTTCCTTGAGTTCTTCCGTGGAAACCTTGCACAGAAGTATGAGAAGAAAGAATAAACAACTAATTATTACTGAGCTTAGCTCATAAATGTAAGTTTTTACTCTGATCAGATCTTAGATCTCGTCGGGACAAGCGGAAAGGATAAAGTCCATGAGCTGGACTTTTGTCTTAGTGAGCGGTACTGCGGTCATGAGTAGTTCGCGCTTGTTTGAGCCACTTGGAACGCGACCCTTCCAATTCCTCATAGATCTCAAGGCAGAGATCGTGAAGAACTCAAGGACAAAGAGTCTTTGAGACTTGGTAAGGAATCCCTCATCATCTCTTTCATCCTGGAGGGTCTTTGTGGATGCAGTGGACTTGATCTCGTCTTCCTCGATCGGATCATTCTCATAATCTTCATCACCCTTCTTCCTAAACGTCATCTGCTCTCTCTTGTAGTCGTTCCTGAGAGCATTGAGTCCAGCTTCAAGATCTTGTGAGTTCTTTGCAGGTTTATTGAAAGTTTTCTTTTCCTGCATTTGCTGTATAAGCTGGGTTTGCTGTTGCATCATCTGCATCATCATTGCCATCATATCTAGTGTTGGTGATGCTGGAGCTGGTGTTGTACCATCTTGGGACATTCGGTCGTCGGTTATGTCTTTACAAAAGACTGCTTTACAAAAGACAGCTTTACAAAAGACAGCTTTACAAAAGACAGCTTTACAAAAGACAGCTTTACAAAAGACTGCTTTACAAAAGACAGCTTTACAAAAGACGTCTTGACAAAAGACAGCTTTACAAAAGACTGCTTTACAAAAGACGTCTTGACAAAAGACAGCTTTACAAAAGACTGCTTTACAAAAGCATTTTCTCACAAAATTGAATACTTTTGCTTTACAAAAGACGTCTTGACAAAAGTCTGCTTTACAAAAGACGTCTTGACAAAAGATTGCTTTACAAAAGTCTGCTTTACAAAAGATTGCTTTACAAAAGATTGCTTTACAAAAGTCTGCTTTACAAAAGACAGCTTTACAAAAGATTGCTTTACAAAAGCCATGACTGATCTTCATCCAATTTGTTTAATCGAACTTAATGAAGTAATTTCTGCATATCTCCTGCATGTATTTGGAAACGAGAGGATAAGACAACTCACCAAGGTTTCCAGACGCCAGATCCAAAGACTTGAATCAACTGCAGGAGTAATCCTAAGCTTTGAAGAAGGATTAACCAATAAGAAAGATGTCATTGACTCCAAGCGTGAAAGCCTTGCTGCTTTCTTACGCAAACACCCATGGGTCGATGTTGATCTCCAAACTCCTTACCAAGGACTCGTTGAAACCTTCACGACCTACAGACAGCTCCTTGACAGACCTGAGCAGAACCTTCTGGTCGAACGTGATGGCACATTAAGCCCTACAGACGAGTCAATCCAGAGATAAGAAGCTCAAGAGTAAAATTCTGACATTTATACTTTACATGACATTTTTTTCATGAGTGTTCACGTTAAGATCAATGATGAAAACATGACTTCATGGGAAGATATCATTGATGACATAGAGAATGACCTTGATGAAAACATGATGGGAGCTCAAACGTCAGTTAAGGTCAAACTTGGTGAAGTTCAAGAAAAGATCTCCGAGATCAATGCAAAAATATCAAACTTAAAGGTTGACGTTTATTACAGAAGCTTGGAGAGAACTTTAAGCAAACTTGAACGTCAGAACCAAAGTCTCATAGTTGTGCTCCAGAAACTCAGTCTCATGCGTAAAGCATATAATGACTACCTACATGTAAGAGACTTACCTTCTTATTCTACTCCAGATCTCGACTTTTCCGATATCAATCCTTATTGATACAACACTTACGATAGCAGGGATGCTTCCTACATATAGATATAACTTACCTCAGCTCTTCGAGTATCTCAAGAAAAAGTTCATGATCTTATTATGCGAGACCATGAAAAGACGTCAAAATACCAGAACAGAACGAGAACAGAGCTTACTAATAGACTTATTATATAATACTAAAGAAATAAAGGAGTTTTTATTCTAACTTTGGTATTTTTGGGAAGAACTGATCTGGATCATATTTGTCAACCACAGGTTTTGGTATCAAAAGTCTCTCTGGTTCTTGGACGTCTGGTACTGGAAATGGTTCCTTTGGTTTCCTAGCTTTTGGGAGATCTAAAAATTTTCTTGGTCTCTTTCTTTTGTGTAAGTGTTGTCCATTTTTATCGACAACGAATGTGAGCTTTCCGTCGTCAAAGATGAATGTCGTCGCTTCTTCAGTTCCCTCATCAACTATTATCTTCTTGATCTTTCTCTTCTCCATTAACAGAAAAAGTGACATATATTACTTCATTGTTTTTCTGGGTGTTAGGATTAATTAAACCTCTATCTATAACATGCTTTCTCATAGAAAACTTCTCTCCATATCTTTTTGTCAATATCTCTAAAAGTTCTTCTGTATAAGATTTATCACTACTGAAGTAAATAGATGGATAATTAAGGACATCAAAGGTTTCTACAGTATCTTTAAGAGTCCATTCATCTCCATACTGTATAGAATAAGTATGGAAGTATGGAGGATCACATATAAAGAAAACATTGGGAAGATCTTTATACTCATTGAAGAGTATTCTCCAATCTTTATGAACAATAGTTAAACCTTCAAGATAGTCATCTATGTTTTCACCAAATAAGTTAGTATATCTGAGGTATAACACTTTCTTCATTAATGTGTCAAGATCATAGTATTTGTATGCTCCAGAATAGAGAAGACGTGAACATAATGTATCCCAGTCTATGTATGGAGCTTTACTTATAACTTCTCTGACGATCTCTTTCTGATCAGTAGGAATTTTCTCATCTGGCTTAACATTTATTCTCTCCTTAAGTTCCTTAAGTATTTCATTCGTGTCATGAATGTGTTTCAGTCTATCAACGTAGTTATCATAGTCGTTAGCTATGATCGTTGCTTTTGGGAACATAATATGCAACAGATGAGAGATATAGAGAGAACCACCAAAGAGGTCAACGAAGACATAATCCCCTTTGATGTCTTTGAGTATGTCGATAAGAGCTTTCCTGATCTTCGACTTATTACCTATGAAAGGTAAAGGAGGTTTGGTAAAAATCATTTATATGGTAATAAAAATAAGTGTTTACTTGAGACAATAACCTCTGTTGAGTTTGTAGAACAAGATCAGAAGTACGATCAAGTTCAAAACAACACAAATGGCTAGGATTGCGTTACCAACAATCTTTGTCTTTTCCCAGCAAGACTTCTTCTTTGGTTCATGTGCTGCTTCGACATCACTGTATGGCTCGGACATTAACTTAAAAAGTGTCATGACCACTTCATTTTTGATGAAGCCAACAGCTTATGTCCACTTCCTCCCATCAACACTTGAGGAACAAGAGAAGGTCATCATTGAATACCTTCAAGCCACTGAGAAGCTCCAAAAGCTTCAAGATCTCCGCGAAGAGTTCAAGTCCCGCTTGAAACAGGAGAACTTACTGCAGGAGTACATGCTCATCTTGTACCCATTACTAGATGGCTCCCATTTACCATCAGAGTACATTGCAGCTCTTGATGCACTCAAAGATCTTCGCGATCACCGTCCGATCGGTAAAGAAGCCTTCGAGCTCACCATTGAGCAAGCCATCCTCGCCAAGGACAATGCAAAGAAGCGGATGCTCGAAGCTCTTGATAAGATCAAGGAGTACGTCGAAACGTTCTAAAATAATTACTTGAGTAAACGATAAGTTTTATTCATTGTTTATCTTTTCAAGATATTCTTTCATCTTGACGTTATATTTTCCTAACTCATACAATAACATACTTAAGACATAAATTATACCTACTTATTAACTCAGTATATTGAGCATTATATGCATACTTAAACTCTTGAGCAATATTGTTCTCATCAATGATTCTGATCTGAGCTATTTTTGAGAAAGGTGGTGGAATACCACAGCATGTAATGTCTGGGTCCAATAAATCTATTTCACACTTGAACCCAGTCATTCTGTGAACAACTTCTTCCAAGTCTGGCTTAGGTAGTAAGATCTGATCTTTGCTCACTAAGTTAGAAAAGAGCTCTTTGTCTTGGTCTAGAAGTATCTTCTGGTATATACTAAGTAAATACTCTTCTACACCAATCCTCGATGAAGTCTCCACAGATCTCGATGAGGTCAGGTTGGAAGTTAATGGACTTAAAGGAGGAGGATACATTGGTGCTTCTGAGTTCGTAGTTGTTTCCTCTTTTTTTATCTCTGTTGGAGCATCACTTACTGTACCAGATGGATAGTTCTTTATCACAATGTTATTAGTTGTTCTTGAATCAACATTGCTTGTTGGTTCAATTGGAAGATTAGCTGCACCATAAAGAATTGACTTCGATCTCATTTGTTATGAGTAAAAATTGTTTTATTCTCATATAAATGACGAACATTAACCCAGAGAACAACACAGAATATACTGCAACAGGAGTTGTTTACAATGATCTAGATCAGATCGTCCAACTCAAAGCCCCAAGAGGAAGGAATTTAATAAGACAACCTCCACCAAAGATATATGTTGATGATGGTAGTAATGGGTTCAACTTAGTGTATCATTACTCATATCCTCAATATGCAAAAATTGGGTCTACCCCAAACGTGACAAACCATTATATGAACCTTTATGATGAAGCAAGGTTTCATGCACCAACGAAGAAAGAACCTGATGCATCAAGATTACATGAATTCGCAGACCATGATGGTTATAGCGATTACTCAATGCCTGTAAGACTTTAACGTTAATAAAAAAATGACTGTTGGTAAACAAGAAAAAACTTTAATACAAGAGGATTTGATGCTACCAATATATTCAACTGATATGGGAGCTTATCAATTCGATACATTTGAGAATCCTGGTGGAACACCACCATATTTTCTTTTGTTCATCAATGTAAACAGTAGAAAAAGGTTATGCGTTCCCAATGAGTGAAAAGAACTCAAACAATGTTCTAAGTGCAATGCAGAAGTTCATTTCACAAGCTACAGGTGAAATGAAGCCTACAATACTTACTAGTGATGAAGACCCAGCTTATACGACACAAAATGTTCGAGATCTGTTGGTCAGTCATAACATTGAGCACATGACGACACAGAAATACAATCATAACATACTAGGTATTATTAATAGGTTCTGTAGAACTATTAGAACTATGTTACATATGAAGTTAAACCTCAAAGAAGGTGATAAAACACCACCTTTCACTGCAGATACAATGAGACAAATTATTAATGACTACAACACTGAATATCATTCAAGCACACAACAAAAGCCTGATGATTTCACAGAAAAGGATAATGAGGAATATATAAAGAAGCAAAGATTGAAAGAAGAGTATGTCAGAAAAAATAACCTTTATAACTTAAGACCTGGTCAAAAAGTTCAAGTCATAGTTGAACCAAGAACATGGGGTAAAGGTAACCAACAAAGAAGACATCTTGATCCTTCTTATTATACAGTTGATTCAGTTGATACAAGTGCATACTTGTTAAGAGCAAAAGATGGAAGTGTTGCAAGATATCCACGTTATCAGATATGGACAAAAATAGAGCATGGATTAAAGCAAGGAGAAACTTTAGATCAAGGAAGAGCTGTTAAAAAGTATTGATGGTCATGAACTTGTCGGTAATGATGTAAAGTATGATGTTACGTTTGAGAACGAAAATACAGGAAAAGTGACAGGTAGAGGTATGCGTGAAGGTAATCCAAACAGGTTGTCACAAATGGAAGTACAGTATTGGAGGAAAAATATTAATGAAGGTCATGTTAAAGATATGCCTAGTTTTCTTGAGAAGTATCGTGGGTTTCGAGTTTAGCTTGTAAGTCCTTTATTTTTGTTTCATACAATGAGATCTTCCTTCTGATCTGTTCATCATTGAGAGGTTGCTTGACTTTACGGAACTGTACACGTCCGTCTTTCATTGTATGTACATAATATCCATCAGGAACCTTACCATCTTTTATATATTCAGTTAACCACTTTTGTTTAGTTGATGCTTTAATGACTTGACTCATTTCTTACTGGATAAATTTTTATGTTTTTTATTTTTGACGATTTTTTCTTATCCTTATCTTTCTTCTTGTCCTTGTCCTTCTTTGATTTATCCTTCTTCTTGTCCTTGTCCTTCTTGGACTTCTCTGCTGCAGGTGGTGTTGGATTCTGTTTGACTTTAGCACTTGGGTCAGGACCTTGTCTTTGAGACTTAGATATAGATTGTTTAGGAGCTGCTGCTTGTTTAGTTGCTTCAGCTTGTTGTTTAGCTAATTCAGCAGCTTGTTTATCATTCTCTTCTATTTCCTTTGCACCAGTTGCGACTTCATTCTTGAACTTTTGGAGATTCTCAGCAGCATCCATTACCTTATTCGCTCCTTTAAACAATCCATAAAATTTCTGCCATGGTGATACTGAAGGTATATTTCCACCAATTGCTGGAGGAACTGATGCTTCAGGAGTTGGAGATGGTGTTTTGTCTGAATTGAGATGCTTTTCTGCTTCAAGAACTTGTGTAGTATTTTTCTCCAGGTATGCTTTTGCAACCTCCTTAACTTCTGGACGTTCATTATTTACATCCTGTCTTGGTGTTGATGTTTCAGTAGCGTTTTCCTGAGTTACATTAACAACAGGTTGCTCAACTGCTGAAACATTAGCTGCTTCAGTAATGTTATGAGTAGTTGAAACATTTCTGATATACCTTCTCCTGTTGGAACTCTTGGAGCAATTGTTGTGATGTTCGCCATTGCAGGAGTTGGAGTAGGAGTGTCATCAATCTTTCTGTCAGCTTTCGTCGTTTGCGTTGTAGTATTTGTTGTTTCATTACCATATTTTGATCTTAGTCTGGTAAGCTCTAACTTCATATGTTCTTCAGGATATGCATACTTATTATATTCACCCTTAATATTCTTTTTCCATTCATCGTATTTATCTTCTGCTGATTTCTTAATTGATGCTAGTCCGTTTACAGCCAATTCATCAGTACCGTTATCAGTAGTCTGGTTATATAAAAGATTAGCAGCTGATCTAATTGTGTAATCCGTAAGATTACCAAAACGCTCTATTGTACCTAATGTTGTGTTCTTCAGTTCCTTTCCAATTCCTTGTGCAGCATCTTTGACTAAATCAGCACCCCATGCACCAAATTGTCTCACAGGAGCCGCTATTGATGGTGAAGGAGATGGAGATGGCGATGGAGTTGGTGATGGTGAAGGAGATGGAGATGGTGAAGGAGATGGAGTTGGCGATGGTGTTGCTGCTTTCGCCTTTCTATCAGCTTCTTCCTTAGCCTTTCTATCTGCTTCTTCTTTCGCCTTTCTATCTGCTTCTTCCTTAGCCTTACGAGCTTTTTCTTTCTTCTTAAGTTCCTCTAGTTCTTTACGTTCAGCTTCTTCTTTCGCCTTTCGTTCAGCTTCTTCCTTAGCCTTACGAGCTTTTTCTTTCTTCTTAAGCTCCTCTAGTTCTTTACGTTCAGCTTCTTCTTTCGCCTTTCGTTCAGCTTCTTCCTTAGCCTTACGAGCTTTTTCTTTCTTCTTAAGCTCCTCTAGTTCTTTACGTTCAGCTTCTTCTTTCGCCTTTCGTTCAGCTTCTTCCTTAGCCTTACGAGCTTTTTCTTTCTTCTTAAGCTCCTCTAGTTCTTTACGTTCAGCTTCTTCTTTCTTTCGCCTTTCGTTCAGCTTCTTCCTTAGCCTTACGAGCTTTTTCTTCATAATATTTTGTATACTTATCATCAGCCCAATTACCAAGTGATTTGGCACCTGTTAGTATTCCATTTGCGGTTGATGTTGCTGTTCTTCCGAGCCATCCCCCTACCGCTGAAGCACCATTGCCAATAGCACTACCAGCATTTAAAATTCCACGACCAATCCATATCCCTGGTTTTGCCTTTGTATTAAGAGTAAGAAATTCTTCCTTCCTATCTTCAGGTGTAGGATTTGTAACAGTTCTTACAGTATCAACAACAGTGTCAACACTGGTTCCAATAGCACTACCAACAGCTGTTGCACCAGTTAGAATACCATGGGTAACTAAATCAGTAGCTCTTGAGACAACATTATCACTCGAGGCTTTCTCTGCTGGATAGTTTGATCCTTTGTAAGTTCCTGGACCACCTCTATTTGAAGCTTCTCCTTCAACTATTTTCTTCTCTTCTTGTGCTTGTTCTCTGGCAACACTCAATGCACGTTCTTGTCTTTGAATGTTGTCTTTCTTTAACATGTAACCACCAAGTGTCTGTGGTGGTGTGTTTTTATCTAGTGCAGCATCAATTGCAGCCTTTTCTTTTCGCTTTTCTTCGTCTAACCAATTTTGAATAGATTCTGCATCAGTTGGTTCAGCTGGAGTTGGAGACGGTGTTGGAGCTTTAGTTGGTGTTGGAGACGTGTCGGAGCTTTAGTCGGAGTTGGAGATGGAGTAGGTGCTTTTGTAGGTGTCGGTGATGGAGTTGGAGATGGAGTAGGTGCTTTTGTAGGTGTCGGTGATGGAGTTGGAGATGGAGTTGGAGTACTGTTGGTTCAACAGTCGGTGAAGGTGTTGGCGCCTTTGTGATTCTTGGAGTTGGCTCTGGTGTTCTAATAGGGGAAGCAGTTGGTGTATTAGCTCTTTTAAGAACCTGTGATCTTTCCGCTTGATTTGAATCAGATACTGGGTTAGTTGTACTAGGATGTGATACAGGAGTTATTTTTGGTGTAGGTGTTGGTTTATTTAATGTTATACCATGACTACTCGACATTGGTGGAGGACCTGCGTGAGCAGTTGGTGTCAGAGTTGGCGTTGGAGCTACTGTAGGAGTTGGCGTTGGAGCTACTGTTGGTTCAGGAGTGGGAGTTGGTGTTGGAGCTACTGTAGGAGTAGGTGTAGGAGTTGGTGTTGGAGTCGACATTTGTTTTAACCTCTCATTATACCAATTCTCCAAATAATAAGCCTCACCCATTAAGTTACTCTGTCTTTGTTTATAGAAAATTCACCTAACAGTAAT